GGCGGCTGCCCTGGGCGCTAGGGACAGGCGGGAAACGCGCGGGCGGTGGGGGAGGAGGGCGCGGTGTGCGTAGCTTGTGGCTGCCTTTGGCGCTTGAGAGCCCGCGGCGGCAGCTCCGCAAAGCCTCCAAGAGACGGAAAATGCCGGAGCTGCCGCCGGCCGGCGGCGCCTGCGCGGGGCTGCGACTGTCAGCTGGATGGCGGCAGCGTCCCCGGCCTCGCCGGGTCTACCCGGGCCTCAGGGGGACACGGCTTACCCTCTGATTCGCCTGCCTCGATTCCGGCTGCTACCGTAAGGTTTCTCCTTTATCGGCCGCATCTTCCCACTGTCTCCCTCAAACTGGATCATGTAATCTGATCCAACAGAAGGACAAGAAAAATTTCTTTTTCCCATACCAATAAAATGGTCCAACTTGCTGCCCGGGGGTAGATCTGCTGTAAGGATGACGGTGGAAGCAGGTGGCGAGGCTAGCCTTGCCAGAGAGCACAGGGCAGAGGTTACGTTTCTGGTAGTAATCGTCATTTAGATGGAATATATCACTAAAGTCAGCATAGTATGTCAAAAGCAGGTGCTACTAGATTGGCTCTCTTTTTGTTTGGTGAATAAGCTCGAACGTTTGGCATTAGTGAGATGCAGGATTGTAACAGAAAGGGGTGGTTTATTCCATAGGACAGTTGGGTGCTGCTCTGATGAAACTCAAAGACCAGCTGTCATGATTGAGCTTTTTTTTTTCATCGGGAAGAAGAAATAGGAGGAGGGAGAAGGTGGAGGAAGGGAAGACGCAGTTAAGTCTGCAAATAAGTATAAAAAGTTACTGCAAAGAAGTAAGAATAACGTGGAATCCCCAGTTCCTAAAAATAAGATGGGAAATACCATGGTTAAATTTTGATGAAGTGGATCTAGGTGAGGCAATAGAAGGAATGAGAAAGATAGTAAGGTATTAAATCAGCAAGGTATTAATCATCCGATTTTTGTTAACAAAACTTGTTAATTTTTTTATGGATTATTTTTTAATTGGTGTATAATAAATTTTACTCCTGTTCCTTTTGCACTGTGTTGGTGATGCTCTTTCCACCTTTAGAGCTTACCGTTTATTTCTGCTTGCTCATTTGTGTTTTCAAACTTGCGTTATTTGCTGGAAATGTTTCCTTTATCACCTGACAGTTTTAAGTCTTTGGTGACGAACATTAGGGAATAATTGGTTTGAATCTTTATGATTCTTGTGCTCATTGATGCCTTCAGAGAGCTTCATTTGATCTGAGGGTTTTCATTTGCAAAGATGACAATAACTTAACTAGATTAACTTATATAATTGTAAGATTTTGATGTTTGCCAGGAGCCTTCTTATCTGTAAATCTTTTTATCTTTCCAATTTTTTTCTTACCTGGTAATTATTTTGCCATTAATAAATAGCAAATAGAACTCATTGTTCATGTTGGACTTTGGCTGTCTGATTTGTACTGGTTGCTGTCAGATGTTTGTTTACTACTTAGCACAAATGTTTTTGTTAAAGTTTTGCATATGTGAGTGAAAGTGGGGAAGGATGGAAATAATGTTTAAGAAAGGGAACATTAGTAGACCCACATGTATCACTTGACAGTCTGCAAGAAATTGAATTTACCTGTTTTTAAAATGTATTTAGGCTAGTGGTTACTTTAATATTGTCACTTACGGAAGCAAAAAATAAGCTATATACCATTTCTAACCTATGAGGTATTTTTCATGGTGATGTCATTCTGCTGTGAATTTACAGTAAAATTTTTGTTACAGTATGCCCAAAGTGGTACAAATAATTTGTAATTAAAACTGTTTCTATTGCTAGGCAAACTTCAGCAGTTCTCTTCCCTATTTGCAGTTTATTTGTTTAGTTGTTTTTTTTCTCTCAACTGCTGACAGACACAGCCCTTACACAAAGCAGTTGTATATGTCAAAACAAATTCTGAAATAGATCGAGGTTAGGACCTAAATTTTGTGGTTGTTTTTTTCCTAAAACAAGTTGGGAAGAATGTCTATTTATGGAAGATGCTTGGGGAGAGTTTGTATAATGTGATTTTGATCTTAAAACTGTTTTGGGGAGAGCTTGTATAATGTAATTTTGAGCTTAAAGAGTAATTTTCAGGCCACCATGTCACTTGTCACGTGATTCTGGGAGTCAGGAACATCTTAAAATCGATGTTTCTAGCACATTTCTTTATAATAGATAAATGTATTTCAAATTAGTGGCATGAAAATAGTTTTCTTTCTGGTATTTGTTAAGGAGTTCTTTCTTCCTGCAAAGTAAAAAATGTCTGTCTTGATTTCCCTTGCAGCCAGTGGTGGCTGATTCCTGTGGGTGCTTTCAGACTGACAGGCCTTAAGTGTGTAGGAGCAGCGGGTTATAGAAACAGTCTGTTCCAAAGCAGGGATTAAGAGACATAGTCCTCTTTTCTAAGAACTTCCTGCCATTTGCATGAAAGTAATCTTAGGGAGTCTGAATAGAATGTTCCATAAGTGGAATGTGACATGTAGGCTGAGACTTCCTAAGGTGGTTAAGGCTGCATATCAGCAGTATTATGGGGAAAAATAATTTTTGGACTGTGAGAATTCTCTCATATGGCTGGTAGAGAGGAGACAGGGTAGGTATTGATCGCTTGCTTCTCATGTATGAGGAGTAGGAAGCAAAGGGAAGTAATAAATTGTGTCAAATTCTTCAAGACTCATGCTGTGAAAAATTCCTAGAAGTAGGAAATGGAATACATCAGGAAAGTGTGGGCTTTCATCCTTTAGCTTGTGGGATGTCTGCACACCATGTGCACTCTTAAAAGAGGTGGGGAATAATATTTAGCGGGATCATTATGCCAGCAGAATATGCCTAATCAAACTCTTCAGGTAAACAAAACTTTCAACTGAGGTAAGTCACTCCAAGAGGAAGGAAATGCAGTAGAATTCTTTGAGAATTACGATTGTGCGTGAGAATTGGTGATTTGAGAACTTTCTGCGTTAATGAAAATGAATATTAGAGGCAGATTCCCTGTAATATTTTCTAGGTAACAATAAGTATTACAGTTACTCTGTTTTTGTTAGGTAATGAAAAACACAGTATTCAGGTTGCTTCTCAACAAGAAGATGGTGAGCCTACACTACAAGACATGGCTGTGCTTATTGAACAAGTCACTGGAGTGCCAGTTCCTTTTCAGAAGCTGATATACAAAGGTAACTTATAAACCTGTCAATGTTTCTTACAGATGATACCTTTCATCTTAATCACTTTCAGGTTTCCCGTGTTTTGAATGTCTTCAAAGAGACATTCTTATGTCACTATAACAGTTTTTTCCTTTCTCATTTTTCATTTAGGAAAGTCTCTGAAAGAATTGGAACAACCATTGTCAGCACTTGGTGTTAAAAATGGTTGCAAAGTCATGTTGATTGGGAAAAGGGTAAGTGTTAACCTTTTAAGCCTTTTTTTTTTTTTTTTTTTTTCCTTAAATTATCGTAGTTTGTCAGCGATTAACCTGCTGAACACAGAAACAGATTACAACATAAACTTGATACTGTATACCTACCCACAAAGTTGATTTCAATCTCGCATTGTACTGTAAGTAACACTGCAGTTTGTATGTTTCTTAAATTACATTGACTGACTTCTGCCTTACATTATTGACAAAATTCTGCCTAGTGTGTTGCTTGTCAGTGCTCATGAACCTTCTGTGCACTGATGACCTTATCTGCTCATGTTATTTTTCTGGTTTAAAAAAAAAAAAGCTGTAGCTAATGAGTCTGCTGGTTATTACTAGTGAGATGACTTGTGACTGGCTTTACCAAGTAGAGGACAAGGTAGTATCTCATGTTATAAATGTTACCTCTATTTTAAAGATGCTAAGCTAACAAAAAAAAAAAGTGCACTTTTCTTTTTCCCTTCAAATTAATCTCATTTAATATTTTAATTTAATACATTACATTTAATACATTACATTTAATTTAAAACATTTAATACATTGCTTCTTTGACTGTATTTGTACTTAAGCTTTGGAAGAAGCTTATTTGGTGGGTATTAAAATATGGAAAGAATAACCACAGCGTAGCATGTATTTTAAATCAACAGAAACCTTTATGTCTGTTTCACCACTGTTGCTGCTTTTTAGCTGCATAGTGACTCTATTTGTTCCATAGTTTTGAATGTTGTACTTTTGAATACACAGAATAGTCCAGAAGAAGAGGCTGAATTAAAGAAGTTAAAAGATTTGGAGAAGTCAGTGGAGCAAATAGCTAATAAGTTAGAGGAAGTTAATAAAGAGTTCACAAGTATCCAGAAGGTATGCCAGTTTTGTATCATTTTATAACTTTGCAAACCAGCTTTGTAGGTATATGTATTTTTAAAAAATACTGTTTAAAGTTTTTGAGTAGTCAGTAATAGGCTGCCCCTCCTAACTGTCCAGGAGTCCTGTAAAATTCTTACCGAATTTCAAATGCTGTTTATGAATTTTTAAAATAGAGATATGGCACTGCTTGGATAAAGGTAAATATTGTTGCATATTGGATACATTTTATTCTTTAGATCTGGAAAAACATAGAGTTCTCTTCAGAGTGCAAAGGAGAATGTATGTTATTTGTTTAATCTTTTAAATAAACCTATCAGATCTTACATTTAGCATTTCAAGGATTGATAGAACACAGATTGAGATTGGAATCCCTATCATACTTGAAACTACAGAAGTAGTAAAAGATGTTTTCTTCTGTGGTGGATCGACAGATTTTAAGATGAGCATTCTGTAGGGTATGGAATAATTTTGTCTTTCCTTCCCTCTTTTTCCTCCTCAGGGATTTTTAGCAAAGGATCTCCAAGCAGAAGCACTAAAACAGCTGGACAAGAGGGTAAAAGGGACTGCAGAGCAGTTCATGAAGACCCTGGAACAGATTGATGCCATTGTAAGTGAACAAACACAGAAGGTCAAATCCCAACAGAAACTTAGTGTTAAGAATATATCTTTCTTGTAATTTATTTCATGTTTTAAAATACTAAAAAATTTATTTTAGCTTTGAAAATTAGTTAATTGGTTTGCTCATTTTTTCTTTAATATCCAGCTTTTGCCCCTGTATGTCTCCAAAGACTACTTGGCAGCATCTCTTTCTAAATGGTGACATTAATGCCTGTGTATGCATCCCCATTCTACAGAAGAGCTTCATTTGGGGCAGCAGCCTGTTAAGACTACATGAAATGGGTATCCTTTACTCGAGTTTTACCCTTTTAGTTTGTCTTGGCAAACTTTCATGTTAAACTTCATGGTAACAATAAAGGTCTGGGGAAAAAAGCCAGATACACTTTGTATTCTATATCACATAAGAACAACAGGGTCTTGAAGACTGAAGAATTTTCTGGTCAGTCGTAGGTGGACTGGCAGTACTTCTATTTGAGATGCCTGCATGTTGAGAACTGGCTTCTTTCTCGAATGTACTGGGGTATATCCAAGTGCTTCACAGTCATTAATGGATCATAACCTTACAGCCTATTTCCAGAGTATGGTATATATCTTCCTGTAGTAGCTGAGAGCTAGGTGAGAATAGGGCACTTGCACAGAGATAAATACAAGATTGTGACAGCTAGAGAGTATTTCCTTATTCTGTTTTTCTGTTTGCTGGTCATTCTCTGTAAACTTCATTATGTAATTATGTTACATACCCTGATCATAATATCCTCTGAAGGAAAAATGCTGCTTTTCTGTGATAGTGATGTCTTTGGGTCTATTCCTTTGCGCAATGACCCTTTATGGGATTGTTTCAGAAACATTCCATACAAATGCCTATAATTGGTGAACCAAATATAGATTAGTTGATGGACACCTTGAAAAAGCTCATTAGTAGACAAAAAGAGTAAAAATGTGAACTGGCCATCATCAAATGCTATATAATATGAATGTGTTCCTAGGAATGGTGGGGAGCTCATTGACTTATTTCCTCCTTTCATAATGTGCACCTTTTAATGGGAAACTAGCCTTTGTTGTTTGTAATAGCCAACAGTTCTTTTTTTTTTAATTTTAAAATTGTAATATGTGAAATATTTTAAAGTCTTAAAATTTCTCTTTTCTGACTCAAGAAAATACTTTGATAACAGTTCTTGAATGCTGTTAGGCATAGAGACTTCATATAACTGATTCCCTGTTTGAAGTGACAGATGTACTATGTGTTATCATGAAAATAGCAATAAGATGACAACTATTTCAATTGGATGGGATTAAATCTTATTTCTGATCCCTTCAATTTCTGGTACTAAGTCCTATTTAAAATAATGTCACTATGTGTATGTTGGTGTACAGTCCTGGAACTTAGCAAGCAGCCTTGAAAAACCCTTTCACTGCTTCCTAATTAATCCAAGCTGAATTTCCCAAGTTTACTTTTGATTCTGGTACTTTTTGCATGGCTTAATCAGAAAGCGTGCTGTTACCTATCTCCTTATCCAAAATGCTTTAAATAGTACTGGACAAGGGACTTTCAGGTTTAGTATAAGACTTTAGAAGGCTTACAACCTAGTGACTTCTTGTCTAGATTTAGGAAATAATAGAGTCCCTGTGCCTTAGTCTTGTCTTTTGTGGAAGTGGAGCAGCCAGAACTAAAACTAATTATAATTCATATCTTTTAGTATTTATAATAGTTGTTTGTTACTTTGTTGTATAATAGTTTATGACATTGGCAAGCCTCATTTTTTTTTTTTTTTAAGCAAGAAATAAGTGAGGGTTTTTATTGCCAGTTATTGAAGCTACGTTACACATACCAAAATCCTTATTTGTTTGTTTTAATATACAAGGGCGGCTGTGTTTTTAGTCATGAAAACTGAACTGCGAAATCTTGCAGATGAGATGTGTGCGGTTTGGTGGAATCTTTACATGAAACGTAGCTGTTTGGTGTACTGGTATTACGTGAGATCAGACGAACAGGCCATCAACTTCCTGAGGTATTACTTAGCTGTACTGTAGTTGTGCAATGTACAGAGGCAGTAACACAGGACAGTCATGAGGTATGTATGTGAACAGTAAATGGGATCCACTGAGGTAAAAAGTGGTAAAGCATAAAGCTTCTAGAAAGTATTTTATCTGTATCTCAGAATAGTTCTATACAGTATTTAGTATTCTTTTTGTTAGCCAAGTAGAATCAAGTTCTGACAAATCTCTTAAATGTTATTGACCATATAGATGTGTTATTGATTCAATCAACAGCATGTTAAAAACAGATAAGGGAAAAAAGTGACTGAGTGACTTGTTTTCTGCTAAGACAGAAGAATGGATGCATTGTAAAAGTGAAGCATACCAGCAAGCTCACACTATAAATGTTCCAGTTTGTTTCTTTGGCAGAATTTTTGTGAAAGCTCTTTAAAGTATCTTGGCTGTCATACATTGTTTGGATCAATCAAACCCACATATCTTGATACAAAATGAGATCTGTATGAGAGGTAAGGGTGAGGAAGCCTGCATATTGTTTTCTATTTATTCTAGGGGTATCACCCTCTTACTGTTAGTAGACCAGCTCATTAGTTAGAGGAGTGGAGTTTGGAACTAATACTCCTTTTTACTATATTCCATTTGTTCAACAGCTATGAGTTTATCAGAAGTGATTTAGGAAGTGGAGAAGGAGGTCAGCAGTCATACAGTATTGGGGTGGTAGAGGAAAAATACAGTGTTGTTGCTGCCAGAGGTTTGCAATGAAAGTCTTGAAGGGATGATTTTGGTACAGTAGCTGTAACTTAAATAATTTAACATTCACTGTGTTTAAATAGCTACTGCTTCCACAACAGGAAGGGCAGAGGGATCTTACGAGCATCTTACAAATTTTTGAGTGCTGCAACACAGTCAGATGTTCCTATAAGCTACGGATCTTTGAAGTTTTCTTCAGGAAGAATGCAAATTGAATCGTGTTCAACAGTTGAACATTTTTGTGTGTGTGCATCACCAGAAGTATCATTTATTTCAGCAGTTAAAATTTTGATCCCGGAGTAAAAGTTAAAGTACACTACTTACTACAAATCTTAGTGAGTAGAACACAGAGTTCTTGCTTGATCAGCTGGCATAGTTTTTTAAATAACTGAAAGACTTTTTCAAGCCAAAAAAGAGCTTTTCTGAGATCAGTAGGAAAAATTAAATCCACAGTCATGACACCATGTACTACTTGTGAGCCTGCTCTAATTTAGGTGGTCTCTCACCAGTATTGCAGTCTGAGAGGTTACTTTGTTCTCATGATGATTTCTTATTAAATGACAGATTTTTAATCTAGAAAGACAATATTGCAGAGAACAGATTGTTCTAACAACTGAAAAAAAAAGCTTTCTCTCTGAAGTACCACTCACCAATTTTGTTTACATAAATTCAGGACAAAATCATCTGTCAAATTGCATGTATCAGTATTGAGGACATTGATAACATTACCAACTCATAATTATGTTCTGGTGGCCCTTCCTCCTTTCCTGAGGATTGTTTTTGGTTATAATTCCTCTGAAACTTACTTAAATTACTGTTCTGTTCTGATGAAGCATTTTTCACTGTCTGCTTGTCCCTGCTATACATGTCATCTGGTAATTCACTACCAAATTAACATTTCAAGGATTAAAAGAAAGAAGAAATCTGAAAAGAACATCATTATGCCTGTAATAAACATTTCCCAGGCTTCTGGGAAGTTTTGCCACTTACAGTAAGATGAGAACTTACTACTAAACATTTGTATTTATCTGGATTAATAAACATTTAATAAAAGCATTTCTTATTATAATCCTGAAATCTCTTAGCATGAATAATAAACATAAAATCAAAGCTACGGGGAAAATTTTTTCTAAAGCACAAGGAGCATGAAAATAATAGTATCCCTCAGGGAGGATAGAACACTTAATTACCACTACTACATTCAGAAAACCTGTTGACAAATGCTGCCATTTAATAGCTGCTTTTAAAGAAGCTGCATGGATGTCTACTTAGGTGAAAAAGAGTCAGTGTCTACATAATGTTCTTACCCAATTTACCAATTTATTTAACAATAAGTTTAAAAAAAAGTCAAAGGCTGGTAGTCAATGAAAACTACACACTAAAGTACTATGGTTTGGATTTTTAAAAGAAACTAACAAAAGAACCTCTTGTTGGATGGATGGAGTGACAGTAAAAAATCCTTTTTTGCAACTGATTAACATTGGTGTCATGTGCAGCAGAGTAATTTTTATTTTTTTAAGCAATTTGATAACCAAAAATGTTTCTAGCTATGACAGCTAGTGACTGCTAGTGTAGGAGTTCGCCTGTTTTAAGAATGGTGTCCCTTTGGTTCTGGTAAGATAGTCATAAATAATAAATTTGACTAGCATTTGTTTTGTTTATTAACTGATTACACTTCTGTAAAGTGGATTCAGGTATCAGATATTATCTACTGGGGTCTGTGGTTTGGAAAATAAGAAGAAAACAAAGAGAACAAAGATGTGGTGGTAACATGAAGCTTAAAAATTGTCAGTGGAAACACTTCCAAAACAAATGGAACTTGAGTAGAGCTGAAGGTGATGTTCTGCGGCAAAGGGAGGTGGTTTTATTAGGAGACTAGCGGGGAGAGGGGAAGGAAATGACAAGAGAGTCTGTATTTCATAAGAAGCTGTGCTCAGGAGAGAGGGATGATGGGTTCATAGTTACAAGAACACTCAAGAATAGAGAGGCTTTACAGGCAGGATAACGCACGTGCGTGTATTTATTACTGTGTAAATGGTGAGTGGTTTTAAGGATCTCTAGTGTAAGCGTGAGTGTTGTGCATACAAAATATGAGTCTTTGAGGACCTAATGTGTGTATGTCAACAGTGCATCTTGTCAGTGTATCTGCAGGGTGAAAACTCTCAAAGAGATGTGGTTAACCCTGGTTTTGGGGATGTGGGGTGGGAGATAGCCACTGGTCACAGGGGGGCTTGGGCTCTGTTT